GTCAATATTTTAACTATTACATTCTTGAAAACTCTGGACAGACAGCTAAGGAGACAGTGTCTGTTTTAACTGTAAGACACGAAAAGGATCAGTTCAAGGGAGGTGAAACTCATCTGGCTGATCATGAAAATAGCAGTTGATCTTCCACGTTTGGAAATGCAGGTGGTTTCCTTCTGCCACCTGGGCAGACCAGTGTAAGGACACAGCAGGGCCCCAACGGTCGATGCTGGCAGTGGGTTCAGTCAGGAGCCACCAACGCCCGGCAGGGGCCCGCCGCCCGCTCGCGGCAGCACCGGCCGCAGCCTCTGCACGTGCTACATGCCACCAAGTCCTCTCTGGTAGGAAACCACCAGCTAGGGGTGAACCTCTGAAATTCTGAGCCCTCCCACCTCCCACCCAGCAAAGACCACCAGACTCAAGTATCCATTTGAAAACGCCTCGTTCTCCTCCTCTAACACACAGCTGTCCATCCGCCAGGCTTCCCCCTGTCTCCCGCACCGAGCACCCGGCAGCCCTCAGCCCAAAACCCCCCTGCCAGTCCCACCGACCCGCACTGCACGCACCCTGCCCACCGCATCAGGCCTACCAGGCTGCCCACAGCCCCAGGCAGCAAATCTCACACACACAAAACGGCAACAGAAATGTTTTACCCAGGCTGGCATCCATCTTCCTAGCACCCAGCCTCACCACACCTCCCAGCACCCCGTCAGCTTACACTGTGGGATCCCCGTGCAGCCAGAAAAATGCTCATCCTACCACTTGAAAAAAACAACACTGCTCCAGAATGCAGGTTTGTGCCCCGTACCACAACGTTCTCGTGGCAGGATGATTTTCTGCATGAGCCACCTTCTCCAATACCTTGTAAACAAGATGGAGCAGCCCCCTGAAAGGTTGTATTGAAACAGCAGTAGCCATTCTACACACTGAATGGAGAAAATTAAGACCTCACAGAGTGGTTTTCTAACCTTTTTTGGGGACAACCTAAATGAAAGGTAGGACGACTGAAGTTGGCACGGATATCAAAAAGATATCAAAAGATCCAACTACTCTTCCAGCTCCATTCCGTATCAACGGTGTTCTGAACTGCTGGCTTAAATCGTATCATGGATTCCAGCTTCCCTCCACACAGCAGACTACTGCTTCGGACCCTAAAACTTCCTTGAAAATCTATTCCATAAATAAGTCCCAACTGTCTTGTTAAGATACACTGATGACAAAGACTCGTACATTAAAGGAAGATAAAGCCTTTTTTTGTTAATGCCACTTCATCACGCTGCGCTGTTTGAAGAGCTGAGCCTTTGATGACCGTCCCTCCGCGACATATGGGATTTTTCCTTTGCCCTCACAGCAGGCAAGGGCACCACGCCGATTTCCACATTTCCTACACGCATACAAGAAGAAAAACACTTTCTCCTCAGTTAGCGTAAAATGAAAAGTGCTTAAGTATCAGCTCTTGGAGGATGCGGTTTGGGCACGGTTACTGTGCCGTTTACACGAGCCCTTCCTGGCGGCATGCGCCCCACATGCCACCTCATCTTGCTCAGTCACAGCAGTTTTCACCACCCCGCTGCTGTGTTCTCATCCTAACTCAAAAGTTCCCACTCCCCAAAGGTGGAAGGTACCCACAAATATTTTAAAAGGTTGACACTTGGCTCATAGCTCCTTCACAAATTCCGTATGTATAAGAGTAGTCGCAGTCCACTTTGCCAAGAGGTAAAAATCTTCTGCTCTGCACTGGGAAACGCAGTATGCCTAACTTAACTACCTGTTTATTATGTGAAAATGACCACGTAAACGGAGCTGACACAAACCAAACGGCTGCTGGAAGTAACAGCACATTTCAAGGAGTGGAAGCACAGACGGCTCACTCCAGCCTGCCGGAGGTTACTCATCATCACTCCCCAACACCCTCCACGGACAGACCCGCAAGCTCTGCACCCACAACAGCCACTTCTTGGGACCTGCCCACCCAACCAACAGCAAGGCTGGGCGCAAGCACCTTCACTTTAACTTGACAGAAGACTAAAGAGGAGGTAAAACTGAAAAATGCAATGGATGGATGAATTGTGCTGCATTTGCTGATGTGGAGCCTGTTACCAAAATGAGCTTCTCTGAAGAACACAACTCGGATGCTAAGTCAGACACGTTGGAAACTGAGGGAGCCACATAAGCAGAGTGAGTGTGGGGCTTTTCTAGAACAACATAGGCAGATTAACAGAACTGTCTGCAGATCTGTGCTGTAGGAAGAATGGGCAAGATTACCACGGGATTACCAAGGAGCGGGCAAGAAGACACCCAAAAGAAATGCTTTGGGCATCTACACTGCAGTTTGAGGAAGCAGGTAACCAGAGAAGTCACCAAGATGTAAAGAGCCGTTCTTGCCTCCACATCAGCACACGTTCTGCTGGAAGAGATGGATCCAGCCCTACCGTGCTCTGCCCCAGCCCTGGCCTGCTCCCCTCCTGCAGCCAAGTGGAACACAGCGTGGGAGCAGCAAGCTTCCACCGAGCCAGTAGGTTCCTGAGCAGCGGGCAGCCAGGGGCACGGAGCAGATTCGGTTTTACACACAAATTCTGTTGGCCAAAACTGTCAGAACCAGAGCAAACCATACGAAAGTGAGATCATAAACAACCAAGTTAAAACTTGGCCAGCAGACAACAGGTTAATATCCTTGCAACTTTTATTCCAGCCTATCATCCACTGCTAGGAAGTCTGAAAGAAAAACCTCTACTGCGTGAGAAGTGTTAAAACCCATTTTCTTTTTAGTTCAGCCAAAAGGAAAGAATCCAACTGCAAAAGTGTTGAAGGCAACCAGAGCAAGGCAGTCAGTAATTCAGTGTAAATAGGTATAAATAAAGCTAATGGAGGCTTCATATCCTGGGTTCTCCATGAAGTTCACAACAGCTCAAATCCCCATTGAGTTTACAAGCAGCCCTTCTGGCACCTTTCCTTACTCGGCAATTCCCCTGAATTTTACTCTGTTCTTTCTTTATGAACAAGAAAAAACAACTCAAAAACCTCAGGAGCTTGGATTCCTGAGTGGCCAGACTACAGAGACCGTCAGCAAGGAGCTGCCCTGCCGTGGGCTGGAGGCAGGGCTGCTTCACCCACGGGCACCCGTCCCATCCAGGGTCATCAACGATGCTGCGATGCTCTGGAAATGTGTGCTCCCTCCCGCCTACAAGCTGCTCCCAGAACTCCCTTTCAGCTACTTGAGGCACACTGTCTGTGACTTCTGGCACTTGGTCACCCGAGGTTTTCAGAGGCGGCTCCCAAGGTCAGAAAGGCGGTCACCTTAGGTCTCAGCTGAAAGACAGCCCCCCCGGGACCAACCTTCCCACACAGCCCTCCGCTGGTCAATAAAGTGGGACGTACCCCAGCCATCACTTCAGACTCCAAACAACTTACACCAGTCTAGAAATTCAATTTAAAAATTTTTTACTCAAACTCTGTGATACTCTAAATATCTGAGACATACAGAATGTGTCTACAACACACTTTTACTGTGCATACTTAGCACACCGCGTCCTAAAATATTTCCCCATTTAAAGCAATATGGTAGCCGGCACGATCTGATGTCCTATTTGGAAACACACAACGGGTGGAAAAGTAACAGGGAATATTCTATATTTCTGACAAGACATTACCAATGCAAGGTGGCTCTTGTGCTTTCGTGTCTATTGGTAATAACATAAACACCACCAAATCATGACATTCCTGAGCTGAGAACACGACAGAGCTGCTGAAAAAGCCCCTCATTTATAAACTGCTCGTAAGAGTAAAAACGCAGTTCTTGATCCCTGCCCCATACGAACAGCACACGAAGCTACACTAGCTCAACCGCAGCGCCTGGCTCCAGCAAAACACTTTCATACTTTATTAGCTACTTCAGTTAAGGTTACTGGGACTACTGGTTCAGCCTGTTCATTCCCACGTCCTCGGTGGTAGAGGCTATTGGTGCTCCGTGAAGTCCTCGCGGTGCTTGGGGCTGTAGGAGAACTTACAGAGCTCAGCTTTGTCACTGCCTGAACGCTGAGCTTCGCCGAGGCACTCAGCGGCGGTGCAACAGGCTCTGCACGCAGAGCGATCTGCCAGATCAGGACAGAAGTCACCACAGTCCTATCAATCATTTCTTTTAATTCTGCTTTTCTTATAACATGGTCTAGGACTTCATATTCTGCTAAACACTTCGCTATGTTTGGTTATGATGGAGATACAATGTATTTAGGCCGGACTTCGACAGTAATCCTAAAACTGCTAAGCCTGTTGAATATTTAGACAATTACTTCTACGAATATAGTCTGTTAATACAGCTTTATTACCAAAATAAACTTACCTTTAGCACACAGCAATTAATAAAAAATTTAAACACTCATCAAGATAGCACAAGATTTAAACTCCCTTAATAAATTAACAAAGTGAAATAAAATACTACACATTATGTTTAGGGCTTGTTTATCATTTCACATGTTTTCACACCAGTTTTTTCATATTATGATATTGAATGGATTGTGGCAATGCGGACTTATCTGCTCTTCCAGTGTTTCTTCTGTAATTCGTACAAGCATTTCTCTATCTTCCCAGCACACATTAATGATGCTACAACACAACACGCATTAGCCACGCTGCTCGTATCCCACGAGAACTAAAACACACGCGCATTTGAAAGGAAGAAATGCATGCTACAGGGCGCTCTGAGACAATAGTTCATTTTCTCAGGGTTTGGTTTTTTTTTTCCCCTTTCCTAAAATAACACATTTAATGGAATTTCCTGTAAGGAAATTACAATTAATAAAGAACTAAATTACAAATCCATTAGATTTCAGTCACTGCAGCAACAAAACAGAGTTTTCACAAACACTCCAAAAAAATCCAATAACGTAACCTCTGGTAAAGCTTGAAAAAGCCCTGAAGGACAAGGCAGTTAGATCAATATTAGTTTATTTTAACTGCTGTGCAGTATGAAGAGATGAGGCTGATCATCTGATGGATTTTATTACCTGTCGGAGAGATCAGTCCTGGTGATAAGAGGCCTGGAACTCCATGGGGCAGCAGGCGCGCATTCTCTTGTATCGCCACTCCCAGTGAACGCTTGGGGGGTCTTCCTGGGCGCGAGCTGATGGAATAAAAGAATAAATGAAAACACATTTTCTTTTCGAAATATTTGCTTACTACACATGAACTTGGTTTGTATAAAACATATGAATCATCAGTGATACCCAAAAATATACTAGAAATTCTTGCCTAGGGAAAAATAAAAATTGAGTTGATTAAACACGCAAGAATTGTGCAGGTTTCAAACGGACTAACAATTAACTGCCAAACAGCACCTACAGTTAACACAACCATAAGCTCCGAGTCACACGAATGACTAGAAAGCTAAGAATTTTTTTAATCTCCACCGCAAGACCAGAAAGCAAGCAATCCACATTTCCAGCCCTACTCTATCACTACTTTGCTAATTAGTACCTTTTTCTTAATACTACTGTCGGTAAAATGGAGCTCAAGAAATACACGTGCATGTGTAATTCATGTGTAAAGTCTCGAAAATGCAGCTGGAGGCATTACTCTGCTCACAAGTCATGGTTCAGAGGGTTGTGGGTTAACGAGGCAATGACTACGGGGACTCCAGCGCTGTTCAGACTGGGTGCACCAGGACCCACCAGCTCAGACCCCGCTGGACGAACGCAGCCACGTTGCTTCCAGCCCTCGCCACCACCCAGCTCCGGGCTGAGCGGGCGTCTCAGCCGCGCTGAGCACAGGCAGCACATCCACACGCAGCTCCGTGCCCATACAGCAGGCGTGGGGAGGAGAA